AAATTATAAAGTGAGACATAAATGTATATAACTCTTAATTAGCTTCTTTATTTATTTGCCTTTGTAATATTTACCTTTTTTTTTGTCCTTTATAATCTTCAACTTTATTTTTTAATTACTTATATTTTTAAGTATTTATTTTTAAATATGGCAGAGTTGGTCCTCCATAATACGGATTAAATGAAATGTTAAAAAAATGCTCATGTGTAATATCTTTATTTGTAAATATCTCATACAACGTGGGAAACCTGTGGCTTAAAATCCGGTGCGGCTTATAAAAATGCAAAATTGATTTTCTCTCTAAAATTAGAGCGTGCGGCTTGTAATCAGGTGCGCTCTATAGTCCGGAATTTACGGTAAATTATAATAAAACTAAAATGCTTACTTTAAAGCAAACTACGATGTTCCTCTTATATTTGGCGAATTTATGTTCCAATATTTTGTAGGCCAAAAATTCCAAAAACGTTAAAAACAATCCATTGGACTTTGGTTCAAAGCTTGCAGACATTTCGCTTCCCATCCAGGAAGCTTTTTTAATTCAAAATGTCAGATTTCGCAACGAGTTTGAAGCTTTATAGAGTGGACCAAAAACTTGTTCTGGCTTAGAAAACATGCAAATTGTAACCGGAAAAACGGGTCCGCCCCTTTGGAATGGGGAGTTGTTTTGGGTTCTTTACTAAGGGCTGGTTATACCCCCGCAGCAGTGTGTCGCAGTTAGCTTTCCGCAGGTATGATGCAGATATTTTTGGTTTATACCTAATTCTGTGCTATGTTATTCCACACCAAACAACGCAAGAGGGATTTACGTTAGCCCTGGCTGCTGCACACACATTCAGAAACGGCCTACGAAAAATACCAGTACTGTCTCAAGAGGCAAGTAACCAATCAGAGTTTCGTTTCACAGGTTGATTCCTCCCTCAAAAGGACAAAATTTAACTCATTATTTTGTCATAAAACATTTAAAATACATTTATTTCGGTGTGTTTTAAATAAAACTGCTTGCATCAGTATCTATTACAGTAGCAGCCGTTCAAAATGGCAGTTCCCAGTCAAACACCAGCGGAATGGCAGCCAACTTCCCTGCAACTCCCAGCAAAATCCCCTCCATGAACCCAACATATTTTTTTTTTACCACCCTTTCATTTAATAACAGGGTCTAACCAGAAGATGACGCTTCTCTTTAGATCTTAATGTCCACAAATCCTGACCGAAAGAATATTTTAGTACAAAGATTGATGTTTAAAAAAGGAATCTTAGGGGACCAGCCGAGGGCCCATTAAAGAAAGAGGGGACATTTTGACTGTATGCTTTTAAAAGAGCCATGACTTCATAACGTCTCTGCTTGATGGCTGTGTAAGCAATGCCGTAAAACATTTGCAATGCATGTTACAATAGCTTCCATATGTTTGTATAGCACTCTTTTGTTGAATTTTCTGGCTGTCCCTGTGGAGGTGAATGACAGACGGTGGGCATGTATGTGTACAATGCTGTGTGTTTGTCTAGGCTTGGAGATGGAATTAATTGAGCGAACAGGAGCTTCAATCTCCAGTCTGTCCGCAGGCAGATGGCTAGAATGACTCTGCACAGCCTCTGCAGAAAGAGCCTTGGGCTGCACGCATGCGCACATACTATTTATTTACATCTATGTGGGAAAACCCCATCTTTTTTTATGTCTACATATTTTCTAATGCTGTAAATGTATTATAATAAATATAGAGAGAGTAATTCTCATGCCAAGTGTCTCCTGACCCCAAGAAATGGAGAAGCCTCAGAGCCACGCCACCATTACTATTCCCAAGGCCAAATATTGCATTTCTAAACTCAATTGTTCTTGTCATATCTCATGATGATCACAGCTGAGTAATATTGCCTGTGGGTTTTGTTTACTAGCCGTGATGTCACATTTGATACTGGGGATTTCTCCTATGACTTAATGTGAACTTTACGCGACAGAATGAGACCTAATTTGCTCAGCTAGCCCCGGCTCAGGAGCTGTTAGCCAAAGTGCCAGTCAAAGATTCCCGTATTCGTCCATGCAGAGTTGGGATATCTATGGCCGTGTGTGTGTGCTTTATTTTTTTTGTGTGTGGAGTGTTTTGTCTCTGTGGATGAGTGCAGACCTGCTGCAAGGCTCTCTGGATGTCTATGCCCTGTCCCCAAGGGGCTGGTGGGTTGGCGAGACACTCTCCGGCGTTGCCGCGACGAGAGATGTCTATCCTCTGTCTCCTTAGATTCTGGAAGGCCGTGGACATGACTTTCACCCCGTCGTAAGTTAGTGCGCCCATGTACTGCAGACAGATATTCCAAACAAACAACAAGATTAACACAGAAAAGGAGCCAAGGTGGCAAAATGGATGAGCTATTTGTTCCACACATGAAACCTTTCTATTGTCATGCCATTTTATCTCGCTTAGCGTACATAACAAATTATTAACCAAATACAAGATACATACAGATACATTCTGATAAATCTGGGAATACATATTTAGAACATTTACTAATCTTTTTATGCCAGTGTTCTGTCAGACCAGCATACCAACAGTCAACACACGTTTATCCCTTTAATTTATCCCCTTAATTTTGTACGAAAAACGCACTTTAAACTACTTCAATGGGCGTGTATCCCTTTAGTCATGTACAAAAAAACTATTTCATTGCTTACTTTTTGGTTTTATTTTGAAGTGTATGTCAATCTGACCTTAATTTTTTTTTTTTTTTTGTACATAACTAAAGAGATAAACGCAAATCTATCGTCCATGTGTATTGACTATGGGTGTGCTGGTGTGACGAAGTACACACATCTGACAAAACACCAGTCATAGCCAAACAATGGGCTGGAGATGCACTGTAAAATCAGCCAGTAGCTGATTTTCACAATGATCAGCAGGTGATCAAAAACCTAATTTTTGTACAGCTATGCTGCACTGATGTTGCTTCTGATTGACAGCTGAGATTTAGCTAGGTCTGTATTGGTTGTTTTTTTGTTAAGTTAGAGAAAAAAAAACCCAAAATAAATTAGAAGGAGTGTTTTCCACCTCCGTACGATGTTTGCAATTCATTTCGGCTAAGAGAGAGAGAGAGAGCATTGCACACATCAGGTAACAGGAAGGCTAACAAAGAACAGTAAAGTAGCTCTGTCATATCCTTTTGTGATGTTACCTTTTTTCGCTATGAAGTCAGAATTCTGTCAAAACTACACATGTGTAATAATTACTGAAGAGAACAGTTATATTTACACACTCAAGTAAACCCCAACTATTGTCCACCCAATCAATCACAATGTAACACAGAGAAATACAACCATTCACGCACACACTCACAACTAAGGAGAATTTAGAGAAGCCAATTAACCTAACAGTCATGTTTATGCAATATGGGAGGAAGTCGGAGTACCCGGAGAGAACCCACGCATGCACAGGAAGAACAGACAATGCACTCATGGTTGTGATATATTAAGGGCCTCATGGTATTGGATTTGCACGCAAAAAAAACAAACATTCCAAATGGCATGAAGAGTAGTTTACATGCATGCCTTTAAAATAAAACTGATAATATGAGTATTTATTTCACATAGGCGCTTTGGGCAGCTTTCTGACTTCAAATTTGTCTTTTATTTAATCTATAGCACTGAAAAATAAAGACAGGCTTTAGGAAATGTAAGAGTTAA